TTTTTCACCCAAATTGGGGCTGTTTTTACAAATTCTGTTTTTTTGTTGCCTTTTTTTGTTGTTGTTTTGTTTTTTGTTTTTTTCCTTTTCCAAATTTCTGCCTACTTCAACTTTAAAGCAATCGTTCACAATCATTTTGGCTACTACTGAATTTCAAGCAGTGTGTAGTGTGGACTCCTCATCACAATTTAGATGTCTAAAGACAATTTCTTTTGCCATATCACTGCATTTAAATAACAATCAGAAAAATCCAAATTATGAATTCAAATCTGTGAAACAAAACTTTGTCTGTTTTTCTCTCCTACTGCACTAATCATCTCGCAGCCTCATAGATTTGTCTTGTACCCTTTGGATGGGCCTGACTCTTCAGTTGGAAACCACTGAACTAACTTTATATAACATAGATAAACTAGATCCATCTTAACAAGCAACACCAACGTGGACATCACGTATGAAAATCTGGGTAATTTTGCTGCAGTGCGAGTACTTCCACTTGTAATATGTAAAGCATATTTTGTTAATACTACTTAATTGATTTTACTTAAGTAGCATTTGAATGAAAGATTTGATTTTGACATTAATTTTTACAGGAAGGTGCTGTTACTTTTACTTAGTAAACCATATGAACACTGTCTCCACCATTGTTCAAGCATGATCATAAATACATATTCTCCACCATATAGACAATTTCTTGTTGTAAATATTGAATGACCGAACAGCTAGGAAAGGCTGTAGAATTTGAAAAAATTGAAAATGTGACAACCTTTAAGATGGATGCTGTTTGTATATTTTGAGTTGTTTATCTTCGACATGTCGGGCATGTTTTTCTGTCAGTATGTTTAACAGCCTTAAATCAGCAACGTTTTGTGCTTATCATGATGATGCCATTGTCTTTAGCAGTGTTGGACCCAGTGGGAAGGAAAATTTTACTGAGGTTTGACTAAATAAAAGAAGAAAAAAAGTCCTGATCAAACCAGCGCTTCTACCACAGCAGTCTCTTTCTCTTCTGATTGAGTGAGCACATGTGGTTCCCAGTGGGGATAACCATCCTGGACCACAGCATGTGGGACAGATCTGGCTGCACCTTTGATTAGCCGCCGTAGTCGCAGGCCCAGGACACTGACGCATATCCCACAGCTCTGAGTGTCACTGCGGTCACATTAGTTTGAGCTGTGGCTCTAAAGACTTCAGAGGGAATCAGAGGGAAAGCCTGTAAGGTCGGCAGAAAGTAGCAGGAATGTTCAGAAAAAAAGTGCCATCAATCACCATCATGCTGCAATATAGCGGCTGTCGGGTCAAACCAGTCATTCCTCTGGCTTCTTTTTCCAGAGCGCTTTAAGAGAGATTGACGATATTAACATTTTTGACTTTTTCCGAATAAACCAGTGATTTGTTCTTTCGGATCCACATAAATGCATTTAATGTATCTAGCTGCCACCAGTGGAGCTTACCTGAACTGACTGTGGTGCTTAAAGCAGATGCAGACACTGCTTTATTGTGTATTTACCAACTTATTTGGACATTAAATTGTATAAAGGGTCTGCATTCACTGAAAACATTTTTTAATTGATTAACTGATTAAACATTCACAAACATCTTAACTTGTGTCTCTTCCAGAGGCAGCTGAGTTCATGCATCATAAAATTATATTACACTGTCAAATGCAATATCGAAGTATGGTTTTAAGGGATAAGTCTTGTGATAGTCTGTTGTTTTCAATTTTACCAAACATGGAACAAACAAAATTGGAAATTAAATTATTCGATCCTTAAGGATTGTCTGTGTATCTCTGATGTACTTTAGCTTGTTCCCAAACAGCAACTTCTGGGGCTGAATAATTAATTCAACACCAAAGTATCAAAAAAACTGCAGTTCCTCAAATGGCCGCTAGAGTCTGGCTCCAAAAGTGAGTCAATCCCCATAAACCTTCATGTTAAAATGTTGAACTTGACAGCAGAAATAAACATGTTTACAGCATGGTACAAAAATGCTTTTGGTGTCTGGAGTTAATTTTTCCGGTATGGCCCCTGTATGGGGGGTGAAATGTATACTTTTTGATTTTAACTTGCCCATTTAGATTGTATTAGTGCCTAAACTTATGCCTAATTTAGGGCGTAGCCATGTGGAGCAACAGGTCGGTGCCATCACAGCACAGTCTGTGGCCCAGAGAAGTTTGCATGGCCACTCAGCCGCCATCTTATCTTTGGATAAGTCGTCGGTAGGTAGGACAAGCCAGGCACTGCAAATTTGGCAATGTCCGGAGCCAGCAGCTACATTCTCACCCAGGAGACCTTAGTTCACACCCCTTAGGTACCATTATTCCTACACTTAAGTTTCACCTTGGCTTGTTGGTTATCTTTACTTTTAACTTGGCGTTTGGTTAGCTTTAGTCACTGAAACAATGTAGTTACTTTTAGGAAAATATCATACTTTGGTCAGAAGCTTAGTTAAGTTTAGGCACTCAAAGCTGCACGTTTAGCCATGGTTAAAATATGACCCATTCACAACAATGCTTCTTCCATGTTTTGGGGGTTTCCAGTACAATGAATCCCATCCTTTCATATATGGAAAGCACAGTAAAGCAGTAAAATAAATGGCAACATACGTTGATTAGAAACATAATCTAGGAGAAAGTACATTTCCCTTCAAACATACTTGAGGATGCACTCATGTGATCTTCAATCTGAAAATAGTCCCAACAAAAGCAGTATTCACTTTTTAAAAAATAATAATTGATTAAAACTGCAGTGCCCAGTTACTTTGGAAAATTATTACTTTTTTTTTTTTTTTTTTTATGAAACACATGTGTTTCTAACCCATTTTTCAATTTTTGTCTTAGTCGGAACAAACAGGCCCCGAGCTTACAGCCACAGACAAGTTAGGGAACACAGAAAGTACAGAGAGACAAAAAAAACCAGTGTTCATTTTATTCTTTTCATGTGATTTGTTGACAGTAACAAAAATAAAGAAGATTATAGCCAGCATTGTTCTTTAAGCAAATATTGGCCTGATGCTGAGGAGCTGACTGATATACTGTATTATGCGGCCTACTCTGAATGATGTTTCATTTCACTTCTAAAAAGTCCATCAGCCACAGAAGAAGATTAATGGTTTGAGGTTCAAGAAACTGTTGCAAATAATTTTAAACACTGCGATGTACCCAGAGCACTATTTTATCACCTCTTATATTAGCATTGCAAAATTCTTATCACCGCTGTTTGTTCTTGCCCCACGGAAATAGGACATTTGACTATTTTTGTTCATGCGCACACATATGATTGCTAAATAATTTTCAGAGGGCTTTGACACAAAACTTGTATTCATAAATTTATATAGCAGCCTTGTTGTTTTCCTTTTTCTTTTTTGTCGTGTCACTATTCACAGTGCGCTCTTTGTGTTTCAAATAGGACAAAGTCGTAAGGGTCTTTTGCACAACTCCCATTTTAGTCCTCCCTGTGTGTCTTTCTGTCCCCTGCAGCTCCCCCTCACCCCCACCCCCTTAACTTTTTCTGATTTATTAAGCTGTCTGCCGATGTGCGTCAGAGCCGGCCAGGAGTCTCGTGAGGCGTTCCGCTCCTGAAGAGCTGTGTCTCGTGTCTGGACAGCGTCAGACCGCAGCGTCCTCCACCCCTGCTAACTTACCCCCACCACTGTTTGCCTTATTTGCTTGCAACCACAAGCCTCCGCGACCTATACACACATTCTGAGCAGATGATCCATCGTACCCAAAGATCAAATGATTTGTTCTGGGGGAATAGATCAAAGATTGTAGGTAGCAGCTCGGAGTGTTTATCACAACCAAGAGTGCTGTGATTCTAAATGAAATCAGGAGTAATTCCTCAACTGCAACACTTTTCATGCATTTATATTCCATGTTTCCTGCAGCTGATGTAGAATTTGGTGCCTTTATCTCCTGCATCTGGTTTTATTTCATCTCTGCCACCCTCCACGTACTGTCGTGTTGTCCCCAAGTGTCTGTATCCGCTCACTACCCTGATATTCATACAGGATTTGTGACACACAACCAGCTTCATGATTTTTGCCATTCGGGTGTGTGCAAGCGTCGGAAGAACACATGTGTTCCAGCTGCATCTCCTTCCGTGATTCGTACTGGATGTGTAGACACACAGAAGCTGCTGATGATCACGCATTTCGTGACAAAGCGGTTTAAAAAACAATCAGAGCTGTCTGAACACAACAGTTGTGTTTCTACTATAATCTGATGGCATGTATGTTTACTGTGTATCTTACCATAAAATGTAAATTTAGCACAACCACACAGTATGATTTGGTTCTTTTCCCAGGAATTTGTACTTTTGTTGGTATTCCATGGTATCCCAGTTGACATGACGCCTCACGACTGAACGCAGACAGTTACAATCCTTTGTTTCAGACTCACACTGCATTTGCATGAGTGACCTAAACATGATGGTTTCCTAGTGCATCATGACTGCCTCGCAGACGCCAGCGGGTGTATTAAAAACAACTTTCCCTCAACCATGGTCTGGCAAATGGCTTTTTTCCCTGACAACAAAGACAGTAAACAGCAGCACTTAGCGAGCTCTCAAGAACCTAATTGCCTATTAAGCACAATCGAGTCCTCCTTTATCCTGCTGCCTCTGTTGGGGGCTCCTATCCCTGGAGATACAGCTTTACAGTAAACATAAGTGAGCTAGCTGGGCTATCTTAGAGCTTTAGCTGGAATCTAGACGCTGCTCCTGCTCCTGCTGTTGCTGCTGCTGCTGCTCTCACCTCGCAGTAAAGAGAAAGAAATGACCTTCGGCTGTTTTAGAACTGCATTTGTTTGGGTGACCTTTGGGATCACCCAAGTGAGACATTATTCCTATCCTCGTAAGCCTTATGTTTCTTTCCTCCACACTCTTCTAGCATTTCCATAAATTGGTGCGACGTCTCTCAGTACTGTTTTTTTTTTTTTTACTTTCATGATTTGCTTCGTCATGTTCAAGAACCAATGGATGTTCTGTGTCTGTGCTCTTCAGGCTTGACAGATGAGAAAGTGAAGGCCTACCTCTCACTGCACCCGCAGATGCTGGACGACTTTGTGTTGGAGAGTGTGAGTGCAGAGACATTGGACAGATGGCTGAAGAGGAAGACCAGCAGCAGGCCTGCAGGTAACACACACACACAGACACGCACAGACACCGCCGCAGCTCTCTGGATCACTCTGACATAATGACTGGGTCAGCAGATTTCAGCATTTTGACAGAGTTGTAATTTCCAAAAAAAAAAGTTTGCTCCGGTTAAATGGTTCCAACTCGTATAATTCCATATGAGTTCACTGTAATTCAACCGCAAATACATGCCGCCCCGCTTATCTGCAACCACGTCAGTCATTTGCTTTTATTGCCCTGAAAAACTGAAACCAGTTTTCTTAAAGACCAATCGGATAACCAGAGCCGAGGCGGAGTGTGCCTCTGCGGGTTCTGTTTATTATCCCGGCCGTTTGCAGTACAAATCACTCATCTTCACATATGTCTCCTTTAATCGTCAGTGTGTGTGTGTGATAGACAGAAGAAAGGGAGAGGGAGCGGGCCTGTCGGGTCTTTACGGGTCATTAGATGTGTTTGAGCGGGCCGGGCTGAGTTTGTGCCGTGCGCTCCACACACAGCGGACTGTTTCTCAGACCAACCGCATCCATCAAGGGCCCACAGGGCTGGCACTCTGCCGAGTCGAGCTGCTGACGTCAGAGGCGACCTCCAGAGACATGCAGCCGGCTGAAGGGGGCCCATGGGAGGGGTGGGGAGGATGGCGGCAGTGGTGGTGGTGGCAGGGGTGGGGGTTGTGCTGGCTCAGGGTGTGGGTGTGTTGAAGGAGGAAACTGGCAGAGGATGGATTTGTCACATTTTGGAGCTGCTTTTTGCGTGAGGTATGCAGACCATAGTGTTTGTTGCTGCCATGTGGAGACGGTAATTTCTCAAGCCCGAGCCTGTGTTTGAAACAGTTTCCTGTATACTGTGTATATAAGTGTGCGTGTGTGTGTGTGTTTAGGTTGACAGATATCAAATAGACGCCGTCATGTTAATATTTCTCTCTGGCGCCAAGACGGAATAACTGATTTAACCCGTGTTCTTCAGACGAGAGCAGATGAAGCCTGTGCAAAGCAGAATGCTGATTGATAAAAAACTTAATTGCAGAGATTTTGCTTTGTTTCTTTGCTAATGTTAATCAGTTTTCAGTTGAGCTAAATTCCATCCGTGCAAAAATGTATATATTTTTAGCTCAGAATTGACAACTCCAGTTTTCTCAGCAGTTTTGGGGAGACTCAATAATTTAAAAAAAAACTACACAAACTATTTTGTCTACTATGAATTGCATAGACTGCTGACTGTTGTTTTCTAGCATGTTTTAGCGTTTATTTTTTCAAATTTGTGTTGAGCTTCTTTCTATTCAGCTACAGCTTTTTGTTTCAGTACATTTGGAAAATCAATTTGGAAGAATTTGAAACCTGCTAGAGTCTGGTAACCCATCACAGTGGACGAGGTTGTGCAGATGTATAAATCCTGCACTGCATTACCGCACTGCCATAACATGTAATTGGCAGAAACAAACAAAGCGTGTTGACGGATGATGTGTTTTGAACAAGTTTCATATTTCAAATTAGATTCTTATGTTGTTCGGAAGTGCATGCTAACCGCTTAATGTTTAAACTGCCATAACATGCTTCGGATGGTGGTTAACAGTAATGCCAATTACAGTATATTACTGATTCACTTATGGTTGTAAAGCACCTGGTAAAATGGTTGTTGGATGCAGAATCACAGCGGAGGAGCAGGAACAATAAAACACCATATTATTGGACTCCTGCAAAAATAAATTTTTAGATACAGAGAATATCTTTAATCATGTTGAAATGAACAATTAACATCTGCAATATGTAAGTATGCAGCAGGTGTCTAGACTTTTACCCTCAAAAACAATTCATGCAAAACATGATATGTCGTCAAACTCACTTTATTCTATATACTTTATTAAAGAAGACTGCCAAAAGTAAACCTGATTCTGTAAAAAACTAAAAGGTCTGTGCTCCTCACTGCAACCAAGAAGCCATTAGTGACTCTGCTATTGTCATGTGACAACAATTTGTTGCTGTACTGGACTGAACTGTAAGTTGTGCTTACACAGAGCAGAGAGGAGACAAGTATGGGAACAAATTAAAAATGTACATATTAAAGTATTTACAGTTTGTAGAGTCACTATTTTTTCACTTTAATTTTTTCTTTTTATGAGTTATGGCAATATTACTGCGTCATACTGCACAAAAGGCATCTTTGAGTTTTCTCTACTTCTAGTCATGGTTGTGGTGTTTCCATAGAGGTGCAGGACTTTATATTCCAGTGAAAAGTGAGCCCACAGTGAGTAAAAATATGACAGGAGCCTAAAAAAAAAAAGAGCGCTCAGAAACTACTTGGGGTTCAGAGGGTTAATGTATTTATTAGAACGATAGCAGAGAGATGACGGGAGATGAGAAGGAAGAAGAGCCTGGAACCACCAAGCCAGAATACCCCAGTTTTTTCGGGAACTCAAGCACACCAGCTCACCCGTGACTCCGTTCAAACACTATAAAACAACTCTGCTCTACTCAGTGGTGAATTGTAATTCTGAAGTAATTCAGCTCTACATGTTGAACCTGGAAACTGAGTCTGAACAAGAGAAATGACACAGAAAGCTCCGTCCTGTAGGTTGACAGGATCAGTTCTGTATGTTTGTTACATATGAAGCTTCAGAAGTTAGAATTTACGTTTTTGAGTCATCTGTACGCTGAAACTTTGAGGTGGAAATGTTCAGCCATGGCGTGATATGTCTTCTAGTGTCTAGAAAAAAAACACCATATGGACATGCTAGCAAGGTAAAAAAACAAAACAAAAAACAAGTTGATTTTGCCAGAAGGGGATCTTAAAATATAAGATGTTTTGTCAAAAAGTCTCTTCTCCCTCTGCTGAAGCCATATGCAGCTGAGATGTTAGTTTGTTTTAATGCAGTTTTACTTGACAGCCAAAAAGGCAAACTTGACAGATTTTACACAACAGAGTCTATGAACAGGCCTTAGGATCCGTTACTGAGTTGGTGTTCACTAAGTGCTTAGAATACTTTTTATACACTTTTGGAATTGATCAGTCAGTCGCTCAGTGTAGACTCGGAGTGAAAATGGCAGTAATCAGCCTGATAGCTCCATAATCATGTCGCGTGTCTCTCTCTCTCTGGGTTGATCTTTGCATCACATCAGTAATATCACTGAGTCTGCTTCCTCTGTTCGACCAGACACGTTGGCACCGCTCTGAAGCCTCTCTGTCGCTCGCTCTCTGCGGCTGTATCCACTCAGATCTCACAGGCTGAATCGTCACCGTTTTGAGGATGAAGGACAGAATCAGTTTATCTGACTTGCAGATATAGTTTGCACATTTCCACCCTTGTGTGAATAAAGCAGGACCGTTCCTGTCTATACTGCTCCCAATATTCTAAATATGTATCTCCGTGCATGTTTTTACTGTGACGCTTTTCAGAGACGGATCTTACATTTGTTACGAGTGCAGCAGCAGCAGCCACAGCAGGAGCTGTCATCATGTGACGGCCACTGAAGCAACCGCTGCTTCCTAGAGCAGTCCCTGCAGCCAGTCTCGTTCTCACTTATCATGTGATGGACAACATTGGATTACATAAATTAGTTTGTCTGTACATGTACAAGCGGGTGTGTTTGTGCGAAGGTTGTGTTACAGCCTGTAGTTCCAAAAAAAGCCTTCCCATTTGCTTGCTGTTTATCTGGCTGAATCCGCCGTGTGTTGATTTGTTTCCTTCCTTAGATAACTAGTTTATGGTTTTATTGTATTGTTTTCTTGTTTTTCTTTGTTACTTTATTGCTTTATATGTATGTATTTAAGTATCGAGATGAGACTTTTAAGGCTGACTGGCTATAGCAGTGTGTTACAGCAACACAATGAGCTGAACACAATATCCCAGAGTCCTGCTGATGTCACTGGACCATCACACTTCTCTGGACCGGTGTCCCACTGGCAGTGTTTACTTTACACCACACTCTGTCAAGGGGTAATTAATAAATCCCAAACCCGCTGCTGCGTCCGTCCAGAGGCCTCTTGTTACTGATCCGTGCCTTCTACAGTGCACACACTCACACACAGACACACTATATCAAATCGTCTGTTAAGTCTGTTGTGCAGGACTTGTTGGTCTGAATTTCTGCTTATATGAGTAGTTTTGGAAAAGGGGTCTGTTACTGTTGATGCATTTTAAACTATGCATAATGCTGCTTTTTTTTGTCCTTTATGGTTTGTTTCTTAGATGTGCTGTTTTTAGTTTTCATTCACTGTCTTGTATAAGATTTAGATTATGTGTTTTATCTGAAAAAATTCTTAATCCTCCTTTTATCTTTGGGGTCAGTTTGACCCCATTCAATGTTTAACATTTCTAAATAAGTGATTGACATAATTTTGTATTTAAAGGGCTATTTACACATGCATTTAAGTAAAAATGTTTAATTCTGATGGTTTTCTGCAAGTTTAAATTGCTGCGGTCAAGTTCAAGCCAAGGATAAAAGATGTCAGTAAATTTGAATGTAGTAGGAGGGTTAAATTGTCAGTCAAATTCATTTTTTATTCCTGTAACACACTCACGTCTTAAAAAGGCAAACAGAAACAGAAAATATTTCGTAGGTTTTTTAATTTGGTTTATAAAACACTTATTAATCAGTTATCAAATGTATCCATTATTAACTTGAATCGGTTCAACAAGGCAAAATGTTACCGATTAGTTGGACTTCCTGCCTGATCAGTAATTCAGAGCTTCGTGGAAAACTGAGTCTCTGGCCTTCCTTTGCTCCAGAGGGCAAGAGCTGGGCCAAGCTGTTAAGCAGCTGATACTGTTTCTCAGATGTGTTTAGAGGCCAGTCACAGACAGACAAAGATGTGCTTGTGTAGCAGAACCTCATACCCAACCCCTGCGATAAGAGCACTGTCTCACCTGCAGGCCTTTCCATCAAGAGGAGGAGGAGAAGGAGGTGGTACCCTTTACTGCTGAAAACACTTGTTTGTGTAGTCTGAACTAAAATTATCTGCTAAACCAAATTTTTTTTCTTCTTACAAAGTTAAAATTCTCGCTC